TTGGGTAAGATAGCGTCGGGGAGCCGGAGCTCGGCTGCGGCGGCTACGGCAGCAGGCGCCTCGTAGAAGTCTTCCTCGACGCCCAGGTGGCGGGTCGGTAGCTGCAAGCGCGTCCGTGGCGGGGCACGATGTCGGCGGGCTTCGGCGGGCGTCGTCAGGGTCAACGGCTTGGCAAACTTGTGAAGTCGAACCAGCCATGGCGGCTTGGGAGTCGGGCTTGGCACGGGGTCACACGTGAAGGCGTCGACCGTCGTAGCGAGCCAGCCAAGCCACTTGTCGTTCGGTATCACGTGTGGGCCGAGGTCACGGCCGCGGCACTTTGCCGTCACCGCGTGGATAAGGCGTTGAGTTCTTGTCGCGAGCGTCTCCGTCGGGGCGGCGGCGAGCATCAAGGTGTGGACGTGCTGGGCCTGAGTGATCCCGATCTTGGCCATCGTCCGGGCGTACCGAGTGTGCCATCTTGTGGTCTTTTCTATGTAACTACAGCTATCTACCGGGAGAAACTGGTTGGACCAAAGCGGTTGTGCGTGGACCAGCGGCGACGGCGCCGGTACCGTGCTCGGCCCCACGCAAATGTCGAACCAGTACTTGAGCATGAACTTGAATCGGTCGGGCACTGCCTTCGACGTAAGCAGGCGCCGGATCCGAGGGAGCAACGGGTCGGCGAAGGCGAGGTCGGCAAAGTTGCCCCACGGCGCGTAGGCGTTGGCAACGACAGCCATGCTTGGTGACGACCAGGCCGGGACCGGGGACGTCAAGAGCACGGCCTGCATGTAGCGTAGCGAGTGGCCACGGTGACGCGCCGACCACGTAACAAGCGCCGGCTTGAGGCCGAGGCCGGCTTGGTGTTTTAGCGCGAAGACGATACTTTGATGAAGGAGCCGGTGGCCTTGCGCACCCGCGCCGATGACCGGCGGCTCGCCGTTGATGAACTAGAAGATCATTTTGTCGATGATTGCGACGAGCAGCGATCGTTAGGGTCCATGCATTTTAAACGTCGTCATATTTACACCAAGACGAATGTACCTTTCACGCGCTGTTGCGCGCTGCTAACGTTTGAAAAGCGATGCCATCGAGCCCGAGTGAAGGTTGGTTTTGTGTCCGTTCCTCAATTAAGACCGAACTACGTGGGGGCAACAGCCGTGTTGATACCTTGTCCCGCGGATCGCGCTCCCGTCTCCGTCTGCATGTCCCTCAGCCGAGTGTACACAACAAAGAAAGTCCGATATTTGTTTTAGCATACTGTAACGTGTTAGCATTATACCAGGCGCAGAGCATGAGAGCTCGAGAAAGAGCTGGAGCCATTCCCGAATAACGTTTTGTCACCCAACAATTTAACCCTCCCAAGGCGGGCATGGCGACCACCAACACGGTTGTTGTTATTGTTGAAGTGGGTCGTCTATTAAAATAGTCTTGTATCTTGTAACGCGTGCGCTTCTAGATCTCGGACTTCTAGATCGCTCGTCGGCTTCTTGGAAACGGCCATTTAGTGACAGAAGTGTGCTATTTCGCGAGTCGACAATATGCCGTCCGCTAAGATTGCTGCCGCACCGGGGCTTCCACGCCACGTGGTCTACCGCAACAGGTTTGCCTTTCTCGTGAGCATGGGCATTCTCTTTAACATTTCGCTCATGGTCCGTCCCTTCATCCTTCCGAGATGAAGTGACAATACTATGTCTGTAGCCCATCAAGGCGTACCTCTCCGAGGACCTCCCGTGGACGCGCGACGCGCAGTTGTCCGCGTCCGACAACTTTACCGACTTCAACACGTCGACCCTCGCACGGTATCAAGCCAAATACAACGTCTCGACGCTTCCACCAAAGTGCGTCTACCACAACGACGCTGCGGCAGGTGTCGAGCTCGTGCGCGTGCAGATGGATATGACCACGCACGCGGCGATCGCACGCGACAACTGCGTCGCAGACTTTCTCCTCGGGAAGCCCGGCGTTGTCTACTACACCACGTCGATTCGGTCGCTGCTCTGCGACCTCGCAGCTGCAAATGCCTCGAACTTTCGTCTTCTTGCGTGGCAGAACCGGGGCACGTGTGTGTACAACACCTATTTCGGCCTCTACATTGGCCATCAATGCGTTTGGATCACCGCCGACGACGTAGCACACACGCATCGGCTCACCATCTCGATGGCGATCGCAACGTATGCCTCGACAACCTGGCTCTGGTGCAAGCTCGCCTTTCGCGTCGGTCTCTCGTTCGTGACCTTGTATCTGCTCTACGCAAAGTACTACCGGCATTGCTTGGACCTCGAGTCGCTCTTACTGCACCATGGGCATCAGCGCACTTCCTGCACCAATCTGTGGCGCTACGAAGTCATTTGGGGCGACCCGACGGCCATGATCCTTCTGAACCCCGCGATCGCAGGGATGTTTGCCCTCGACTGCTGGCTCAGCGTCGACACTGTGACGCTCGCCATCATGCGCGCCAGCCAAGCCCACGAGATAACAGTCATGCTCCTCGGCTGTCTCTACCTCTCCCGCACGGTGATGGATGTGTTGGCACGAGTCGTTGCGATGCTTATGGTAGGTGTGGTTTGCCTACGCCGCGCTATGCGGCGTTAATACGTGCTTGAAGCGCCACAAGAAAGAACACCTCTTTGCCGAGGTGGACCCGACGCTCGTGGCAGTTGCAGCGACGATATACGGTCCTCTGGTCACGTGGATGGCGGGCAATGTGGAGTTTTTCCTCGAGCTCTTTCACGCTTTGTTTGACCTCGTCGTTCCAACCGCGCTCAAGCGCGACCGGTTTGACGGCAGCATCCCATCCACCATGTACTCGCTCATGCTGGCGTCGCTCCCGGTGGTGTACGGCTTTTCCCACGCACTTCTCCGTACGTCGTCTCCTCTACATTAGTTTTGATGTTTAAAGGTGACAGGGAAGCCGCGCTCGACGCCGCGCGACCTCCATCTGTACAGCAGCTTTCGCTTCAACAGCATCAAAAACCGCGTCGTGCTCTCTGCACTTCGCTTGCTCCATAGCCCCCTCCCGGTACACGTGCCGGCCATAGGTGGCACCATGCACCGCCTCTTTGAGCTCGTACCGCGCTACAAGCGATGGCCAACAATTAGTTTCCGCGGCTCCGACTGCTACGTCCACTGTTATTGCGACGACACGCTTGAGGAGCGCTTGCGCCTCAGCCTCGTCGATGACTTGGACCGCTTGGTCCTCGAGGCCGACGTGGCGATCCATGACGCACCCGAGGTGTCCACATACTCGGTGAACGTCCTCGTGCTGCCGTCGGCCCAGTGCGCTCGCCCGCTCCTGCAGCGACCCGTGCAGCCGAGTGCGTGGTGTCTCTAACTCCAATCAAGACACCGCTCCTTACTTGCACTGGAGTTTTGCGCTTATAGAACGCACTTTATATGCATTTTCACCCTGCATGGGTTTGTGCACTGGTCAGCACAAGGCACGAGACATATCATCTCCTGCTCTACAGTGCACTTGGGCACGGCTGACTTGATGGCAGCTCAAACACTCGGTCATTTGAAACCTTCGTCAGTAATGCAACAATAGCCATGACATGATGCAAAGGCCACGAAGCAGTACTCGTACCTGATGATGTTGAAACGCGCATTCATAAGGTTACCATAGACCAACCTGGGCACAGTGTGTTGTCCCCATCCTGTTCAGGACGTTGGCGACACGGCCTCCATGAGGCTTCTGCCAAGAAGCTACTGCAACTATCGACGCACGTACACACCAACTCCACGCAGAGTGCGGCGCGTTTAGACAAACGGTGTTTCGACACAGAGCCTTGCGGAGGCCTCATCGCGTTTCGTTTCGTAATCTCGACTCGTCGACGCAATATAATGCTCGCATGATTATTATGAGGGGGACTCAATGTATTGCTGCGAAAAATCTATCATTTCCGAACGGCAATGCGTCTTCTCATGTGTGAAATGCTACCATCGTGCTTGCCCCTCACTTGCCATTTTGCCCACTTGCTCGTAGAATGTGGTTGCTGGTGCTGCTGGTGCGAGGGCCTCTGTGGTGCCACGAGGGCGACATGATGCTTTGTAGATTGCACTGGCACTTGACGCTGCCACAGGCTTGTGCAATGGCGGCACGATCAACCAGTTCCATGCCACCGCGACGCGGGACGGGTGTCTCGGAAGTAGTCCGTTTTGCATTGTCGACAAGAGATGCATGGTACCTCTATTGTCTTCCTTGCAAGAAGCCGGTACTCCATTGAGTAGACAACGACGTTTTACGAGGCGAGGAACTTTACCACCCTGGCGCTGGGCAGCGTCTTGCGCATTTACAGTACCAAAAAGCATCCAGAAAGCGACAAAAGCTCATAGGACGTAGACGAGCCCGTCGATTACATTGCGAACCTCCCCAGTCTCTTTGCAAATCTCACAGTGTGCGTCATCACCTCGCCCAACTAACGCGTTTTGATTCATCGACCTGCGTAGCGCGTTCGACAACACCTCTGTGCACGGCATTGGCGATCTCTCGACCTCAATTAACGTCAAGGAATTGTGGGTTTCTGACTCAGGTATTGTCGGCACTGACGTGTTCCGCTAGGGACATCTACAACTACAATGTGGCGATCAACACCTCCAACACCTCGTGGCCGCCCAATCTTGTCTCTCTGTACGTGCTGAGACTATTGTCGTCGTCCATGGCACACACCTGTGTCGGCATTAGGCAGCTTCGGCAGGCCAATTTCACGACGCTGCCTAACCTAGCATCCATACCGCAGCTCCTCTACCTGTACGTGTATTTATCTATCGCAAATGCCGCAACTGCCGGTGCGTAGGGACGTACGAAGCAATCTCTTTACGCGCCTCGAGAATCTCGACTTGCGCAGCTTGAGACGAGCGTACACCCTATTAAAGAATGTCGCACGAAAACAAGACATAATGTGTTCGACTAGGAACTTTGACGACAACCCGATCACGACAATATCCAACGTCTCCCTGAGCAGTGCCGAGCGCTCCGATACATTATTGTACGCGTCGCCTACACGTGCAATATGTCACAAGTGTTCAACTATAGCGGTCTCTCGGGCTGCAAGATTACGACGTTTCTCGTCGACCCGGACACGTACACCGTGCTCCTCAATGTAAACAAGACGGTGCGGCTGCACAACAACGACTTGGCGCCGACGATCGACGTCTCGGCGACCTGCAAGGCACCAAATAGCATCAAACCCGTCATGCAAGGAGCATACTCGGTGTGCGTGACGCCAGGTAGGCGACGCGGTAGTTGGTATTCGCGCTGTAGTACGCGTAGAGTCGATGTTGCCGCCACCACCGCCACCAACGACCGCGCCGCCACCGACGACCGTATCGCCGTTGTCGACGTTGACAAGCGCCGACCAAGCGTCCTCGCGCCTTGGCAGCGGTGCGATTGCTGGTATCATCGTCGGTCTTGTCACTGTCGTCGCTTCCCTGGTCCTTTTCCTGGCTCGACGGCAGCGTCGACTGCAGCTGTTCGTCGCTACACTCTGGAATCTCTCTTGTCGACTCTTGCTTTGTAGAATATTGATGGAGCGCAACGCGCTGTACCTCGACGTACACGCAACGTTTGGTGCCGCGTCATTCAGTTGTGCTCTGTGTAGGCGCTTCAGATGCTGCGGCTCGACGAAGGATCCCTCGTCAAGCTTCAGTTTGTCGCAGAAGGCGCCTATGGCCAAGTGTCGAGAGGCACGTACAAAGGTTCGCGTCACTTTCATCGCTCGTGCCAATGCCATTGGCCTAGGAGAACCCGTCGCGATCAAGAGCTTATTGCCAGGAAAGCACTCGCAAGCCGACGTCGCCACCTTTGTCGCTGAGATTCAGCTCGCTTCCATGTCGGTCGACCAGTGTACACGTGCATAGCTGACTCGTACTGCAACAGGATGGAGAGCCCGTACATTGTCAAGCTACTGGGTGCGAGCTGGCGGACACCTTCCGAGCTCGAGATGGTGCTCGAGTGGATGGACAAGGGCGACCTCCGCAGCCTCTTGCAGGCCACAGCCCCGTCGATTCCGGACGACGCCGCCCACACATTCTACTGGGACGAGAAAGCGGCCTGCATGCTGTCGATCGCCGAAGGTCTCGTCTACATGCACACGATGAACATCATCCACCGCGACCTCAAGTCCCGAAACATCCTCCTCGACGCTATCAAGGTACGGCGCACTTGGTGGATGATACATGTGTTGAGTATAGAGGGTTGGTGTTAGGGAACCAAGCTCACGGATTTTGGCGTCTCGAAGGAGATGACGACCGAGACCATGACGATCGGAGTTGGCACGTATCGGTGGATGGTACTGCTCCGATTCCCTTGAATAGGCAAACAGAGGAGAGTAGGCACCCGAGGTTCTCCAGGAGTGTTACTACTCGACGTCGGCCGACATTTACTCGTTCGGAATGGTGCTCTCGGAGCTCAGCACCCACGACATCCCGTACGCCGACGTTCGCTCCGAGAACGGTACACGATCTTCTTCGCATCCTTCAAACATAGGATTTTTGCACCAGGCCATCCGCTTGTGGACACGGCCATCATGTCGCGCGTGATCCAAGGGACAATCTCTCCATCGTTTGTGGCGTCGACACCGATGTGGGTGATCACTCTGGCGCAATCCTGCCTTGCGCATGCGCCAGAGCACCGCCCGACAGCCATTGAGATTGCACACACCATTGAACGGCAAAGCAAGGCACTAGGACATGTATAAATCAAATCCGAGTACTGGTGATTGTCGCGGCAAGGGCGGGCGACATATGGGCAGTTGTGCAGACACGGACAGAAATCGCGAGAACCATAGCAAGCTCGGCATTTGACTCTGTTCTTGAAGCATCTCAGCCCATCCCAGTCGACTTATGGGACTCACGGCGGTCGCTCTATGATTGCGCCTTTAATATCTCGTGACCATGGTTTCGCGCCTCGATCGCAGCACCGCAATTGTCTACTTGTATATGTTGCCCGTGTTGTGATGAGCAGTGCAGCTTTGTATACAAACCAACAGCCGCACTGGACAGCGCAAGCGATCCAATGCGTGAATTGGAAGTAGAAAACGGTCGATTTGGCGGGATACGAATCTCGTTCTATCATGTATTACAAAAAACAGTCCATAAATGTAGGCCGGATGGGGAGAGGATCTTGGCTGCTATCGATCGTTGCCTTTTTCGTTATGTGTTCGTACCGTCATTAAACCCTGGTTTTGCACCAATCAATAAATCTTGTTGGGGCCAAGTGGCCAAAAGTAATAGCTCCATTACTAGCCAGCAGCGACCTTGAAATAGAATCATTCGTGTATTCCGATGATGTCACGTGTCCAAATCGGCCCGTCAATCGCCTCGGCCATCCTCTTTGGCGTCCACCGGAATCGCACCGCCTTCGCTGTCAACATCATCATGCTCCTCAACATTGCCAGCATGGTAGCATCTGTATGGTGGTTCTCTCTCTCCTAAGCTACCTTTGTAGCCGATGAAGGCATACCTCTCGCTATGCTTTTGTCTCTATACAGTTTGCGTCAATCCATAAAGCTTATTGAAATGCAACTCGTAAAATGTAACTCCATCGACACGCAACGACAGCATTGAAATAGAACATTCGTGTTGAGCCCATGTCACGTGCCCAGATCAGCCCCTCGACCACCTCTGTTGTTGCCTTTGGCGTCCGCCGAAATCGCACCGCCTTTGCCGTCAGCATCATCATGCTCCTAAACATTGCCAGCATGGTATCCTCCGTAGGACGGTTCTCTTTCTCAATGCTGCCTTTGTAGCCCATGAAGGCGTACCTCTCGGAATTTCCTCCCTGGGCAACGCTGCCTGCGCCCCCAACGAACGCCAACGACTCGGACTTTAGCATCCACACACTTGCTCACATGCAAGCAGCGTACAACGCCTCGACGCTGCCGGCAGCAGCTGCCTTTTACGACGACAGCGCCCGCAACGCTCAAGTCATGCGCCATGTCCTCGTCATGAGCCACAGTCCCATTCCGGTTGATGACTGCCACGACCAGTTCCTTGTTGGTTTACCGAGCGTTCTCTTCTACGGTGCTGGCATCCGCAACGTTCTCTGTGCCTTTGCCGCCGCCAACCACTCGTCGCCAAGCGATCACACGTGGGACCGCCGCGGTGCGTGCATGTACATCACGTACTTTTCCACGGTCATCGGTCATCAATGCGTCTGGCTTCGCGCCGGGAACGAGCTTGACGGCAGCAACACTAGCAGCTACTATGTGTATACACTGGTGGCACCACACGCCGTCTATACGTATTCAGCGTTCCACTCGTTCAAGTTTGCCTACCGCGTTGGCATCTCACTCCTTGCGCTCCACCTCATGTGGACCAAGTTCTTTGTGCACGGCTTGCATCTCGAGGCGCTGTTGCGCCGACGCGGCCACCGGGCACGTCTCCGCGCTCAGAGTCATTGGCGCTACGAGGTGCTATACGGTGACCCGACCGCGATCATCCTCATGCACCCCGGCGTCGCCACCGCCTTCTTCTTGGACTGTTGGCTCAGCGTTGAGGTCATCTCGCTTGTCATTCCCCGCGCGTCGCAAAGCGCCGATGTCGGCGTGATGGTCCTCGCGTTCATGTATCTCTCTCGGACCGTACGTACCATCTGTTTGCGACATCCGATATCACTTTCTGATTTGGCGTAGGTCTGGTTTGCGTACTCCGCCGTGTGCTTGGTCGCGAGTGATCTCAAGCGGCGTCACAAGGAACACTTGTTTTACGAAGTCGACCCGACCATCATCGCGGTGGGAACGACATTCTACGGCCCCGCCGTGACGTGGGCGATGGGCCATGTGGGCCCTCTCCTGACAGCGTACCACTATCTATTCGAGTTTGGTATTCCGGCGTCCAGAAGAGAGTACGTCATCGAATTCGGTCCCGTCGATGCTGTATTCGATCAGCATTGGGTTCATTCCGCTCGTCTATGGCTTTCTGGGCGCGTTGTGTCGCCGCCACCGTGCCAGTTGGTCACTTGTTCATTTCTCCCACCTCTCATTTCCTTGGATTGCGTATAGAAAGGCGACGAATCACAGCGCAGTCATCGATCGCAGCATCGCCTTTTGGCAGCTTTGGCTACAACAGTGTCAAGTCTCGAGCGATGTTTGCGGTGCTACAGTGGGCGCACCCCGACAAAACAAATCTGGCGCCCGAGGTCGGCGGCACGGTCTATGGCCTTTTTAGTCGGAACGCGCGCTACAAACAATCGCCAACGATCAGCTTTCGAAGTGCCGACTGCTTTGTCTACTGCTACAAGGACAATGTGCTCGTCGAGCGTCTCCGCCTCAGCTTGCTCGAGAGCCTCGATCGCAACGAACCCACGCCATCCCTCGCGGTGCTGGACGCTGCCACCCGCTCCACGTACACGCTACACCAGCTTCTCGACCAAAGTCCACCAACCATTGCGTGGGCGCGAGAGCCGTCCCATTGGTGCATCTAAATAAGACCGACGACGGCAACGAAAGTGGTAGTTCACACTTTGTTCGAGCGTTTTTCTTGCCGACGCAACGAGATGAAGGTGGTCGGGGAGGTCTTATGAGCCAAGTCGTATGGTTCCAATTCGTGCTGCTGTAGCCGGTTGGTTGTCAAGATCGATACATCGTCTCTTGCACTTTGGAGAAGTGCCGTACCCACGATGATAGCGAATTTGCACGATCCCATCCCGTTAGCTCCACAGGATGGCTCACACACCTGCGTAAATCTTAAGCATACCTTCAGAAGATACAGTGAGTCTTTGTTTCGTTCAATGAAAACGCTAGAGGCACCACGCGGACGGCCCCGTGGCTGGGTGCACGAAATAGTACGGACTCGAGTCGCTGTCCCAGGGGCCCGGGTGCCGCTCCAACTGATTCACGACATAGACGGAGGGCTCCGAGGTCACATCGGGGGCGACGTCACGTTTGGCGCGACGAGTGCGATCGACACTCGCGACCAAACTCAGACGCAACGTCGTATCGAGGACCCTATTCTCGTTGTAGCACAAGACGAAGCAGTCGGTCGCGCGCCAGCTCATGGTGACGCAGCGCTTGTCACGAGGGTGCTGGGTCAAAACCTCGTGCACGGCGCCACCAAGGGAAACTCGCGCTTGCTCGTTTTGTTTCGAGCAGCCGCAGTGGTGGAGTAGCGTGTACAGCACCCGGTTCTTCATATTGGTATAGCTCGGAGCATGGTATGGATGTCCAGCGCGTGGGGGGAGCACACCTACGTATCCAAGGCTTCATCCGACTCCAGGGAGACGAGGGTGAGGTATGAAACTACTCTCCAAGCACATGGCAAAGACGCCGTACGTGACCGGACCGATCGTGACCATGAGCGTAAAGACACTGCATCCGAGGATGAGTTCCAACTCTTCGCTTTGCCGGGATGCGGAGACCGGGAGGCGGTAGAGCCACTGGAAGAGCTCAATAAGCAAGGGCACATTCTGGCCTGCCCACGACAATGCAAAGCTGTAGATCGTGACGGCAATCGCCACCATGGTGGGGTCTACGGCCTTGAAGCGGTGCTCGAGATGGCAGCGCTTGAGCTGCACGTTGAGGAGGCTCAGCGCGGCGTAGGCAAACCAGACCTACGTATCAATCTGGTATCGACTCACATTTCTAGATCCGTGTGTTTCTACCAATCGAGACAAGTAGAGCGTGGTCTGAACCATAAGCAGCGGGTCGTTTAGCTGCGACGCACGCAGCGTTGCGATCCCGACGTTGTCCGTGCTCAGCCAGACGTCCAAGACAAATCCAAGCGTGACCAGCGGGTGCGCGAGGACGAGCACGGTCGGATCGCCAATCACAATCGCATACGACCAGCGTCCCGTAA